TGATGACCTGTGAAATCATACACGATATATTGACGGTTCAATTTAGTCGTCACCCCATTAACCTCGACCTCACTCATCATTCTCGACCCAACACCGAGCCGATCGTACTATCGTCATCGAGGATTCTTTCTTGTGGACGATAGGTTGTTCCCGAAAAGGACACTTCCACACCTGCATTTCTTCCCTCAATCAATGTGAACTTGAAGTACGTCCTCGCATTTACTCAGGTATGGGAGTCCCGTATGCCGGATTATTTCGACACATCGTGAGCCATGAGGAATGATGCATGGAAAAAGGAAAAGATGCCTCTTTATCTTTAAGAAAACTAAACAAAAATTTCAAATTCGACGGATACCACGGGCACGACGTCCACAAAACATTATCATCATCGTACAGCGAAATACAGCGAGGCGAACTTCATTGATCACTGCCGAACTCGCAATGCATACAAGGTTAGTGGTAATAGTTGGCGGACAAAGATTGGTTCAATTTTGAGGGGAGGTGAACTTCTATGACCAACACACGGAGTACACAATCGAACCCCGCTCCAGGCATTCTGACCTGATAAGAAATGACAATAAGAACGCCACTGACGTCAGTTCGCTGCCATATCCTTCTCCAACGAATCAGTACTCTTTCGGAACCCCAAACTAGAAGGCGAGACACCTACTCTGAATATTTCCATGCCAGAGAACAACCGCATATGGAAATTCACAAACGTACCAACTTCCTATAAAATGACCACTCATACGGAATGACTGTTTCCAGATAAGCATCGGCGAACTCCGAATGTTTCGCACAGCTGCGGTAACCAGGTGCATGAATCCAGGACCATTGATAGCCAGATATTCGAAATGAGGTGGTATGAGTTACTATTTCGAACCATTACTTGGTCGTTTACTGGAACCTCAGCGGTTGTTAAACAGAAAGGTGGTACAAATTCACCGTTGACGAAACCTGAACTAATTCTTCGGCGCTCAGTTTCAAGTTTGACAATAAGTATGCGCTTTTTACGAAGCTGGAGACATGCCGGCGCAACAAATCCTCCGAGATGGCTCGAAACCATTTTGGCCTGAGTTCTCTTTTTACAACCATTAAAAATACTCCTGTGGCCACAAAGCAGACGATTCATAGAAGCCCCGAACAATCCAAGGGACAGTCCCGTCCAAATAAATTCACCATGATTTCGGCGATACGCAAATTATTACTAAGCTCCCATTTTTCACTAAACACTGGTGCATGGTGGACTGCAAACGGGGCGGAACCCCATAGTCACGACGACCCGCTGTTCAGTGATGGTAGCCGGTAGCCTAATCCCCGCGACTTGGAATGCCGAATTAGATAAGGCAACGCCAGATCAGGCGTGGTATAGAACCTGCTACAAAACAGGTGTCGACTCGTCCAGTAAGCTTCTGCATCTTATAGTCTAAGAGGCCACGATTACCCGGAACTTCCATTCAACGCTTGAATCTCCCTTAGGGTCAGTGCGTTTCGCCAAGTATACTCTGCTTACTTGCTAACGGCCAGCATCCGGGAACATCAACTGGCCGTAGATAAACCCGCTTGCCACCGGCATACAGATGCTGATGGAGCAGTAGGTAGAACACTGGGAGACTGAATTATAAACTTGGGCGACAATGTTGGCAAATGACATATCCAGACCCACCTTGCCCACAGAAATCTCGATATCAAAATTCCGGGCACCTGAATCAGGTGCGACTCAATCAATATGGCAGATCAAAGTCCTCAAAAGCCAAAGGAAACTAGTCGTCCACGTTATGGTTGCAAACGGTGGTAACTTCCATTCGTGGTGAGCTCTTTTTGGAGTATCACCACTAGTGGTGGGCATCAACCGCACTTTGATACTACTAGGACAGTAACGGGATTTACTTAGTTGGCAGGCATTCGGCACACAATCGAACACTCGGATTGCCATGGAGCTCTGTTCACCGGAGGACGCCGAGTGAAGGGAACACTTGACGGGCTCAGGCTTCAGTTACATGCGGATTGAATGCAACGTGCCATTGAAGAACGTTTCTATTACACAAAAACTCAGCACCAGACGATCACATGGACGATCGTTGCATCTAATCGTGATGTGGAAAGTAAAAGGAGAGCACACCCCACCAACCCACATTGAAAGGGCTAGTCGAAGAGACCAAAATAACCAACATCAATAAGAGTCACATGAAGCCACTGGTTCTCTGTAATTGTCCTCTGACCATGCGCGACGGACCGCCATCGCAACATTTATTCTTAGTCACCGTATTCTGCAATCATTACACAGGCCAAACAGATCTTTGCGTGCCAGTGGTATGAACGATGCAAACATGCGAAAAATCGGCTAAATTTCGACCCGAACCGAAACGCACCCTTCGAATCCTGCCCAATGGAACTCCACGGATTACACCACTCTTCACAAGGTATAACCGTGAACACAAAAGCCACGTTGAGTTACAGATAAATAGGTAAATACGCATGCTGGTTTCAGAAACACGTCCCATGCAGTATCGCACCGGAAAGGTTTCTAGGTGAGCAGGGAAATAGTCAAAACACAAGGAAATCAGCACCAGGGACGCACAAGTTCGGCATCAATCGTCTCGGAAGTCCGCAGCGATCCAAGCCTACGGAGAGGAATTTACCATAAACGAGATAGATGAGATCGATCCACTATTAGAAGACATTCCTCTAACCAGAAGCACGGGCTTATCGAAAAGTCCGGAACCAGTACCTACACCGCATCGTACTCCACTATCTAAAAACACTAGTCCGCACTGTTGTGCGTGTTCTGTTCAATCTTCCGGGTAATAATCCACATTGGTGCATTGACTACACTATTAGTCTCGAAATATAGCATTTCCACCCTAGTCCCACCCTTTGTGTTCAACGGCGATGTAGATGACCACATTTCACGTACATCCTGAAAGCAATAGGATAGCCACGGGTAACAGCACACGGCTCGATGTGATCCCAGTAGCTCGTATACCCACATGCCCAACAATCCCGTAACGCCGAGATGTGAAGAACCAACCTCAACCCGTAGGTGCCGCGCTCGTACCCTAACCCATGTGCTTAAAACCACTTACGTTCATTATCCATTCGTGATTCCATTTCCGAAACCTGAGAAAGGTGCCAGCTTCATACATTCTTTAGCAGAATTACTTGCATCCGGAACACCTCAATTCAAAGCGATGTAAGAAATACGTGTCTCAGGCTAAATTTCAACGTCCATTCATCAGACAGAAAATCCGTTTGCCATCCGATGAAGGAATCTCGGGTTAATCCTCAGCAGCAGGATATTGACGATCCTGAGAATCCATCCTGTTTCCACTGCCAAACGCCCGAGTGGTTGGTCGTCCCCTCACGGCGCCGGCACTTGGTGCAAGTCCCTTTCTCCGAGCTAAGTGAGGCGTAGCTGCCGCCGTCGATCCATTTGACAACAGTGAAGGTCCTACATTGGTGACGACCGCAATCTGCCTAGGCACTTATGTCCGGAGATCTCCACTGCATGACCAGTGCAATCCAATCCGACAAAGATTGTTATGATGTAATTTAAATTCGTATCCTCCTTGCCGAATCCTTGTTTTCCTTCTATCCATCCAAACCATCCTTTCGACCAATGGTCCAATAACGCACCTTCAAAGGAAGAAAAATGACGTTGAGGTTTTGCTTTACTGAAGACAAAAACGGAACATGTTTATAGTCAATACGTACACCAATGGAAGTCCGCCACCAAGGGTTATCGTCTGGGACTTATGGAACGAGAGCCCGAATAAGAGCGCCCGCGTCGGGGAGAAGGGTAAGACCGGGAGCGTGAACGCGAGCGAGAACCATACTGTTTTTCTTCACGTACACGAATATATGATGATTCACCCTGAAAGAATATAGAACGTTGAAGTGATCGCCTACCTCGTGTGAGCGAAACTTGGAATCATCGAGACGCCGTATGGCGTACTTCATATCTTCATAACGCAAAAATTCCACGACGCCGGTTCCATCACGGAAAACATCTGTATAACCGACGTCCCCGGCTTCACGCATATGGTCCTTCAAATCTTGCCAACTGCCCGTCGGTGGGAGACCTGTCACTATAACCCGAAAATCGGAGCGACGTGGGGGCCCGCCAGCACTGCCCCTCCCGAAACCTCCCCGCTTGAACGAATTGAAGGCTCCATTGTTTCCACCACTATTATAACCACCGCCTCCACCGCGGGGGAACTCAACTCGTAAAGCGTAGCCTTCAAAGTTATACCCATCACGACCCCGAACAGCATCTGAGGCATCTCTTCAGAAATGTTATAAGGCGAATGCAACCTACAGTTCATCTTCAAATTCCACAAAGGCAAAGGGAGGGCCCCTTTTGCATTTTAAGTCGATTTCAGCAATTGGCCCGTATTTACTGAACAAATTCTCTATATCTCTTGTTTTCACATCAGGAGGGAGATTCCCCACATAGATCTTGTATGTGCTACGGGACATGATGGCGAACTAAAAGGCGATTCAAACAACGATGGCGGAAATGTATTATGTATTGTAACAAGTTCACCTGGAAAAAACTCATACTCTTCACTGCTGATGCTAAATTTGACTTAATAATAGGTGTTTCAGGATCGTTTGGGGTAGAGCGTTTTCGCGCGATTTTAATTTTTCGCTGTCCTATACCTAATTAGTTGAAAATGCATCCTCAGAAATGCATCAATAACATGCATTTTAATCATATCCCGTCATTTTCTTCATGCAATCTCGTGGTGATAGATTTTTTGTTGAATTATGGTTAGTAGAACCATTTCAACCATTTTTAAACTTAAGAATGAAAGTCTAAAGGAGTCTGAAGGTTGGAATTGCCATTCGTGAGTTCTCTCTCTAACTATACCAATATAAGTCTGATTGCGAATATGTTTGTCTTGGGTATTTCTTGGTGAAGTCCATTGGGACTTGTTTTGGAGAATTCAACGATGCAGTAGTTCAGTGTCTTACTTTTCTATCCACTTTTATATGACATGGTTGTACAGCTTGTAAGAACTTATCACAAACTCTGTTCGTCACTGCGCTCGTGTTTTCTCAGTGTTGCCGAAGCATCATGCGTACGTCACCAGTTATCGTCAGCTTCATACCATCAACCATTGCCACACATCCGAAGAACAGGACCAATCAATCAGCCGGACAATACTTCTGTGAGTCCGTTCCATGTACCGTTTATTTCATTATTACTCGCATATGTAGTATCTTTTTCACCACAGTAGCATGCCTCTGGACACGAAAACCAGGTCAGATCAGGCCAGGTCAGGTTGTACAGGACAGGAGACGGCCACGGCCAATCGAGACTCCAGAACTCTTTCGGTAGTAAGCCACGTGTTGGCCCCTACCACTGCGAGTGTTCCATATTGTGGCTCTTTAAGTTTTCTGCCCGTTCCAGCCGTCTCCGCCGCTGAAATGGAAGACTAAAAAAGAAAAATATCCTCTCCCCTCGTTCAGGTTTATAGTAAAGGAAAAACCGAAAATTGATTTGAGGTACAATCCTTCGCGTCTAGTTCGAGGAATAAGTCCAACCAGAGCCTATCGACCTCCCTCTTGAAAGCATTTACGCACCCTAGCTCCACCAGCTCCTGTGGTAACTTATTCCATCAGGTGACTACCCTTTTGCTGAAGAAGTTTCGGCGCATCGCTAGTCTCGTGCGTACATTCTTCATCTTAAGCACGTGCGCCCTATTGGTGCTTTGCAACCTCCTGAAGAACGCTGTCCGATCATACCCTGATGAGCCATTTATTATTTTGAATGTCTCTATCAGATCACCTCGGAGTCTTCTTTCCAAGGAGAAGAGTCCAAGGTCCCTCAGTCTCTGCTTATACGCTTCCCTCGCTGTCCTTCGATCATCCTGGTGGCTAATCGTTGGACCCCTTCGAGACAAGTGCTGTCCTTTTTGAAGAAGAATGTATAGGTTTGGATACAATACTCTAGATGGTGTCGAATACTCGCCTGGTATAGAGGTACGGATACCTCCGGTTTCCTACAATCGACAACCGCAGACTAAAAAGCTCTCTACGAGCGCAGCCATTGGTTGTTTGGAGCATTCGCTCGTGCATCATTCTTCTTTGTAGCATAGATCCCACCAGGATCTTTGATATCCTGAGACCGCTTCTTCAGCTAGGTCTTTTATCTTTGTTTAAATCACTGCCACCACCGGTGAAGTAACTTCACTTTAAACGGTGTGTCAGTTCGGTGCTACACCTCCGCTTGCCTAACATTTTCGCTTTCAGATATTCTCGACAAAGTCAAGCTAACCTCCGGCACTTTCAGGGAACAATATACTTTCCCTTGACTAACCGGTTGTTCTTCTTGATTCATACCGGGTGATCGAGAAGCACGGGAGAATTAGAGGTCGAATCGCTGTCGCAGGTCGTGATATTGCATCCAACATCTCTAAACTGGTGAGCCCATTCCATTTTTCTGGTTATCGGTACATTTTTACGAGTTTTCGTTTTCAATAACCACCCGTGATTTATTTTTCTCGATTTGTATTTGTTTGCACTACGCGGCGGGTTCTACTTTTGACCGTATTCAGTCCGCTATATCTCAAATCATGACCGAGTCAAAGAAAATCACCCCTATTACGCAGCACCCGGTAGTCCTGAACACGATTATTTTCACTTTCGAAACTGAACCTTGACCGCGCGTGCTTCGAATTTTGGAGTGAAGCGTTCCGCCGTAGAATCAGGCCGACAATAAGAGGAGAAAACACTCGAGAGTCCCATTTCCTTTTGGAAAATTAGCGGAAGCGCAATGTGTACCGAGCCTTTAGCGCTGGAGATCGGAACTCTGAATCTGGGTGCCACAACTGTGCGGAACCCGGGTGGCAGGACCAACGTGACGAATTCCCGTCCAGGTGAGCGACTAGGCTACAATATTTGCTACCGAGAGTACTACCCAGAGTTACTTATCCTTGGTTTTTATCGTTTTTGTGTAGGGTTTTCATCTTTACACACCCCTTTTATTACCGGACATAGTCTTGAAGCATATCTAGACAAGTGTGATGGTAGCTCTGAGAAATCCTTCTAAAGGGACTACACGAGCCAAGCAGGTTATTGCACCCTACCCGTGTGCCAGAATAGGGTGTTCTGTCGAGGTGGTTGAGGGCATTCGTTATGATCTGTGCCAGGATTGGTTTCACCAACGGTGCAGTAAACTAATTTCCAAGGCAGTTGAACACTATGCTGTCTACAAGTTTCTGAAATGGGTTTGTCCAAACTGCACCAGCTCTATCGGAATATCCAGGGCGAAAACACTGCCTTCGAAAGGAATNTCACTGTTGGCAGTGCAAGCTCCTCCGTGTAACTCGACCCCAAGTAGGGAGTTACTCGAGGGTAAACCCGAGCTAGGGACCCTGATGCCTGGGGAGGGAAACCAGCCTGGAATAGCTAACGACCGGGAATGGATTTTAGTGGGGAAGCCTGAGCGTGATGAACAACAAACCAAGTC